AATCTACACATTAGACTTAGTGTAATAACCTACTTTTTTCCTTATGTGGCCCAAACTCCCTTTCAAGCCTAGTCTGATTAACTGCAGTTTAGACTGTAAGACACAGAGCCGGCTCAGAGACAAGAGGATAATAAAACACCAACCTGGCTATACAGGGCTACATATCTGGACCCTGGCTTAAAATAATTAATGTAATACGCAAGCAAGCAAAAAGTAATCTATTGTCTTGATACCGACACATCTAACCTGTTACCTCAGTGGAAAATCAGTTAGTGGAGATAGAAAGGGACCAAAACCACTATCAAACCACAGGAAACATTCTCAAGAATGTTGGGGTGAGTTTGATACCCAGGACCCACATAAAGGTGCACGAAGCAAACCAATTCGAGAAAGTTGACCTCTAACCAACACATGTAGAACAATAAATAAAAAATCTACTGGATAGAGCAAAGAAACCTTCCAAGCAAAGAATCCTTCCAAGCAGAAGACTGGTGGCTATCATTACTCTTCAAATGCATCTTCAGGCATACTATAATGATCTAAAATAATTGCCCTCAGAAGTCTAGAATGCATTGGGGGAAAACAAAAGCAAAACATCAAAAAGTACTCCATTATAACCCAAAAATAAACCATATACAGATAGCAAAGAAATAAAAAAGGCAGAAGATAGCTTTTAAAATATCAGTTGAAAGGGCAGGCAGTGGTGGTACACACCTTTTAATCCCAGGGATTGGGAAGCAGAGGCAGGTGGATCTCTGAGTTCAGGTAAGCCTGGTTTACAGAGCAAATTCCAGGACAGTCAGAACTGTTAGATAAATCCTGGGGCGGGAGGGGGGGTGTAGAAGTAAGCAAGAGGAGTGTAAAGAGGTGAAGCTAAGTTTGTTACCTCCTCTGGCTACTGTGTATATAGTAGGTGCTTAGTACTGGGTTTGAATGAAGGAAAAATGCAAGCCAAAATGATATCTGAAAGAAACCTGAGCCATCAAATTACTTCCATAAGGCCAGTGAGGCAGAACGTGCCTATAATACAAAAAGGAAGATCATGAGTCAGAGGCCTTCCTGGTTACATGAGACCCTGTCTCAAAAATTAATCAACTGTGCAAATAAAAATAAATAAAGCTACCACATTTGCTCATCCTTGTCCTATACTGATTCACTTGGGGGAAATTAAAAGCTTCCTAGGGGGCTGGAGAGATGGCTCAGTAGTTACAAGCACTGTCTCCTCTTCTAGAGGTTCCAAATTCAATTCCTAGCCACACGGTAGCTCACCATCCTCTATAACGGGATCTGATGCCCTTTTCTTATCATGCAGGCATATGTGCAAATAGAGCACTCACATACATAAAGTAGATGAAAACTAAATCTTTAAAAAAAAAAACTCCCTAGATTCTATAAGATTCTACAAGAAAGCCGGATGGTGGCGCATGTCTTTAATCCCAACACTTGGGAGGCAGAGGCAGGCAGACCTCTGTGAGTTCAAGGCTAGCCTGGTCTACAAGAGCTAGTTCCAGGACAAGTACCAAAGCAACGGAGAAATCAGTCAGCTGGGAATCCCAGCACCTGAGGTGGACACCAGAGATCAGAAGGTTAAGGTCATCATCAATACAGAGTTCCAAGCTGGGCTAAATAAGACACAAGAAAAAAGTAAGTTATGTGAGAGCCACAAACCAGAAAAAGTACAAATTCTGTCAGTAATAAAAATGTGCAAACAAGGTGCCCTGTAGAGATGGCTCAGAAGTTAAGAACATTTATTCTTTTGGTTTTTTGGGTTTGTTTGTTTTGTTGTTTTATCGAGAGAAGATTTCTCTGTAGCTTTGGAGCCTATCCTGGAACTCACTCTGTAGACCAGGCTAGTCTCAAACTCAGATATCCGCCAGCCTCTGCCTCCCAAATGCTGGGATTAAAGGCGCGTGCCACCACTGTCCGGGCGCAGATTCAACTCCTAGCATCCACATGATAGCTCCAGTCCCAAGGGATCCAAAACACTTTTCTGTCCTTTGTAGGTACCAGGTATAAACAGCATGTCGCACAGACACACACACATGCAGGCAAAACACAAACTAAAAAAAAAGGTCTCACATTTCTCTAACTAGGATTAACAAGTTTATCTATGGGACATACATCAAGAAGTAGCAGGAATGTTAATGCAAACCTAGATAAAACTTATTGTTTTTTACTTTAATACTGAACTTGGGCTTAAGTTTCACTACCAATCAATTAGTAGTTTATAAGTATTCTCCTGCATATCAACTCTGCCTTACCTAAGACCCACTAACATCTACCATAATTTTCCAATATGAACATCCTTCTTAAGCGGCTGGATTTTTTTTCTACTTATTGTATTTTCTGTGTTTCCAAAACCACCCTATGTTTTGGAAAATAGGCAGTGAAAAATGCTGCCTATTCACATTTTAGGGATAAAATGGAGACCAAGTAAATTAAGGGACCTAGTTTAAAGTCACATCAATACTGTTAACATCAACTTTCAAATCAGTAATGTGTCTGCTCTAAGAGCTGTCTCTTTAAACAGAGTAAGGGATTAGAGCGAAGGTTCATCAATTCAGAGCACTGGCTGCTCTTCCAGAGAATGAGGATTCCCAGCCCCTACTCGATGCCTCACAACTATCTATAATTCCAGTGGGGACCGAACACACAAATGACACACAGGCATACATGAAGGTAAAACACCCATATAAATAACGTAAAAAATACTTGAGATTTTTCAAAAATAAAATAGAACCATAAAACTTTAACCAGATAACACATTACAATTTGAATAAACAGCACTCCAAAATGTACTCCCCTTTCAAGATCTTTAATTCCAGAGACAAGCAGATCTGCTTGTGTTCCAGGACAGCCAGGGATATAGAGGGAAAAACCCTATCTTAAAAACTAAATACTGCGCTGGGTGTTGTGGTGCATGCCTTTAATCCCAGCACTCGGGTGGCAGAGGCAGGCGGATCTTTGGGAGTTCAAGACAGCTGGTCTACAAGAGTTAGTTCCAG